GGAAAGTTCTCTTTGATCTGTTCAATCGGTGTATCAAAGGTATAGTAGTCAAACAGTATCATCTGGACCAACAAAAACAATACAAAAAAATAGACAAACAGATCATTGGAATAAAATTGAGAACTCCAAAATAAAGCAATATATAAGTATAGCTGTACCTGACATTTTTGATAGTCACTTGCTCATAGGATTCTCTTCCATTTGTAAACTAAGTCTGTTCTTGTCTTTGGTAAGACTGTAAACATTAAAAGCTTGGACTTAGTTTTGAAATCCATTTTTCCACCCCATACTTTTTGAATGGTGTTTGAATGTTAGTAACATTAAATTGATTATTGAGACACTGGTGTTCACTGCCATTTTGTTATTTTTTGTTTTGGTTTGTAACTTGCTTTTTTTGTTGTTGTTTTTCTTCTTCGATATCTTCATTTCATATTTCCTTTGGGCCCCATTTCTGTTGCCTTATGTATTACTTACATTGATTTGTGTTTGAAGTTTCCATGGAGATTAGCACATGATCAGTGTAAAGTTAGCAATTTCCTCTTGCACAGAGAACTTAGCTGAGCAGACACCTAACTTTGATGTCAGAATCTGAAATGGAACCACTGGAGATTGGCCTAGGGTGGGAGTGAAGGGTAGACTTAGGTTTTTGGTGTTCAAAAAGGGAGGGTTTTTTTTTTTTTTTTAAAGATTTATTTGTGCATACAGACCTAGGGTACAGGCCAGAGGTGCGGGGACAGTGAGAGGATTCACCAGAGACAGAATGGGGAGCAGGACAGGCAGATCGACGAAAGTACACTGCTGAGGGGAGCAGCGGGCGGGTCAGGAGAGGTCTGCCACGCCATGTGGTCACCTCCCGGGCAGGCGGGGATTGAACTCATGCGGAAGTGGCTTTAGCTTCTTAGAGCTGCGCTTTAACCCACTTCTCCACCAGGGAGGGCCAAAAAGGGTTTCTAATGGTTCTGGTTAAGGTTGCCCTCAGCAGTCTGAACTTAAACAGACCTCACCTGCATCAGGTGGTTCCCTTTCCCTCCAAAGAAGTTGGCCTTTCTTCTTCCCCAGCTGTAGCATGCCAGGGGAGCGACTGTGCTCTCGGTCTGCTATGGATGGCACATTCACACACCATGGCATGGTGGAACACTGACCCTCAATGGAACGCTGCTTGAAGGTGGCCTTTGGGGACAGAATTAGGCAGGAGGTGGGGTCAGGACCCTCAGGCAAGGACAGGTGCTCTAGAGAAGAAACAGGGGAGCTAGCGTCCCCGACCTCAGGTCTCTGTTCCGTGAGGGTGAGATGAGGGTTCTCGGTCTGCTAAGCAGGACAGCAGGTCTGCCAGCACTTGGCCCTTGGACTGGACACCTGCACAACTCTGAGAAATAAATATTTGCTGCTTAAGCCAGTCTGTGACCTGTCTGTTATAATGAACCCTAGCCTGCTAAGACAGTTGCACTTACTGTATTTTCACCTGACATAAGAAAATATTGGTTTTTCCTCTAATGTTAGATTTTTATTTCCTAGGGACTGAATGGTGATGGAGGTTTTTTTTTTTTTATTCATGAAAACATAACAGAATTAAAACAAGGCCAACCCATTTATAGAAATACTGAAATTACAGGTGGGTACACTCTCATAAAAAAAGAAATTTATCTTTCTTGAAACTTTATTTAGAAATTTTACTTTATTTAGAAAGGTATATAATGGCTTGAGATATAAAAGTCTCAATATAGTCCGTTTAAAAACAGCATATGGAAAATGTAAATATCCACTTTCTTTTCCCATTTATAGTTTGTGTATTTATTATCTTTTCCACGGTCTGCATCTTTCTTTACTTTGCAATCTGTAGAAACATTTTGAACGTCACTGACAGGTATAAAGCAAGTGAAAACTGCCTTCTCCATTCCAGCTGCAGGTACTGATGAGCTGCCTTCTACGATTTAACCACAGGAATAGTGTTTGGTTTTTTACATAAAGGATTTCACATTCTGCTTGTTCTGTAGCTAGCTTTTCCCACTGACTGATGACACTGACATCTTTCATGATCATGCATTTAGAGCTCCTTTGTTCTTGCTAGTGGCTGCATTGCCATTGGTCCAAACCCACTCCATAGCGATGGCTATTTAAGATGTTTCCATCATTTTATTAACAAACATTGCAGTAACAAGCATGTGGATAACTTATTTAGACTAATGCAGTTATATTTACTCACATATCCATATATCTCTCTGCTCCCTTGAAAAATCACATCTTTTCCCAGAGGTAGCCAAGATAGACCAGTCAAGTTGGTGATGCCGCCCCTTCAGCATTATTTATAAAATTACATGAATAAAGAAAGACATTTTAGGAAAGTTGAAGTATTAAAAATGACTAAGGTATGGGTGAGCTGAAGTGGCAAGAATCAAGGTTTTAGCAATTCTACTTATACTAAGTGATAGATGCATCAACAAAGCAGAAGGCCACATACAGCAAGTTCTCTTTAAAGTCTGTGACTGGCTGGTGTGTGGGAGACCATCAAGATTAAGGCTGCCCTTTCCGGTTACAATTTCAAGAGCCTGAACTTAACTTCTCAAACATCTCCTTCCTGTTCTATGCTCTTAGGAGCTCCCAGTTTGTGTCTACTCACTTGTAACTATCAGGTCTATTGGGCTTCAGGTGATAAAAAAAAAAAAAAAAGTTTAAATATAACACATCAAAAGCAAACCATTCACAATTCAAAAAGACCTGGGCTTTGGAAGGAGGGAGGTAGGATACTTTCTCTCCATCTCTCAGCTCTTTCAAGCTGGGAAGCTCATGTGCAGTGTCTGTAGACAGAGACTCATCCCCTGAGCTCAACATAGCCTGTCCCTGTCTCATACCTGTGTACTTTTGGTTTTGAACAATAACAGTGGGTATTAGTATTTTCCTTGGATAACTGTTCTCAAATGTGGTTTTGCTTTGGTCTAGTAAAAAAAAAAATTCTATGTTCTTATTGATCTGCAAAAAGAACAGATGTGACTAAGGTGGTAATGCTGTTTTCCAGAAGGAAGTGAAGGTTTCTATTTGGCCAATATAAATATTTGAGAGTGTGGCAAGCTCTTGCTTTTGGGAGTGTATTCTTTCAGAAACTGTATCGTGGTGATGAGATACAGGTGCTGAATTTCTGGGCCTTCAGTCTTAGGTGTTGACCCAGTCCTGAAAAGCAAAGGAAACTTCCCGGGTTTTTATTTCAGTAATGAGCCCAGTGAAAGTGGAGTGACACAGGGAGGGCTTGCCTTTTTGTCAATTTGGCTGAATTCCCAGCTTTCTGCAGGGGTCTCCAAGTGTCCCTTAGAAAGAGGAAAGTTCTCTTTGATCTGTTCAATCGGTGTATGGCTAGTGATAGCTCCGCTGGGTTGCCCCACCTCTGAGGTAGCATCCTGCCCTTGATGCCAGTCCAGTCAGCCTGTGTGGGAATTACTAGCTCATGGCACAGTAGCTCCTTGAACTGGCTCCAGGTCTTCACATTGTTAAATAGTTAGGGGGAAAGGGTGTCCTGAATGGACTCTGCAGATACAGGTTTTGTGTACTCCACCCCCTACTCCAGTCATTGAGACTACAGCTCCCAGCAATACCAAGGGAAGACTGTGACAAGGGCAGAGCTAAGCAGCCATATTGAGACTTTTGGGGATATATATATATGAGGAAGACATGTGGGCTCTCTTGCTCTCTTTCCCTTCTTTCCCTTGCCCTCATGGCTGGTTGCTTGGCTCGTGATGAGCTTTCGGTGTGCTATTGGGGTTCCAAGTCAGCGGAACTGGTAGGACACTCTCATTAACTTGTATCTCTCTCTCTTTCTCTCTCTTTCTCTGGGTTGTTCCTTTTTTGCCCCCTTTGTAAATAAACCCATTATTGACCCTTTTTGTGCATACCTGCAGTACAACTGAATCTTAAGCATGGTGAGAACCCACAGACAGGCAACCCAGTTTACATTGGGTTGCCCTGTAGGACTTAGTTTAAAAGACTATGGAGTCTCTGTGGCGCATCCAGTAATACAAAATGCCCTACGGGAAGATCATACACTCCTGTTTTTACAGAAACAATGTCAATTCCTATTAACTCGATGCAAAATATTTTAAGAAAATCCCTCCATCTTCGCCAAGCTACCTCTGGTAACACTCACCCTTTTCCTTACTTATCCTTACAGATTTCCATGCAGACTGGGCGCAGGAAGCAACTTGGAGGAGGAGAAGAATGCAGTGAGCAATGGCAGCGACATTGCAGCAATATTTTTCTCTTCACACTGGGCAGGGCAAGAGGGAGAATAAGCCCAGGATAGAAACAAACCAATAAATAAGATGTAAACCATTTCATAGGGAGTGATTTCTATTTTGACAAGTCTCTGTCAATTATGATCTCCCAGTTTTCTCTGCAGAGAAATTGTGACACTAAACAAACAGCTGTAGCTTCCTGGGACTCCTGCTCTAATAATGCTCTGTCCATCCACATTCGAGAAAGCCATCAGGAGTGCTGGCCCTTGGGGCGAAGTCTTCTGAGCTGAGTTCAGGTGGGATTCTAGCTGGCCACCTCCATTTCAGAGGTCCCTCATTTGGGGGTAGGCATGGTGTGATATGCGTACCCCTGAAAAGGTATGAACCTATTCCCCTAAACATACACAGTGCTGTGAACCAACATGACCTCAACTGAAAAAAAGATACAATCTGAGAAAAGATGCTGTGAACACTTGCACTGGGCCTACTTAAAGCTCTTCTCTCAAAGGCCTTTCCCGAGGGCACTGGCAGCTGACCGAGCTGTCATCTGGCTGAGGAACGTGTTCCATCCCATCACGAATTTCAGGTTTGCTGGACTGGCGCTCCGCATAGGTCTGAAATGACAAGAGTTGAAAGATTAGTCCTTGCTTCATTCTGGGGCTATTCACTCCCCTCAAAGCCCCCATCTCCCATGTCCAGCTCATGCCTTTGACTCCAGCTGCTCTAGTCTTCAGGTTAAAAACAGAGGTCTGGTTTATTCCAGTCTTCAAGTTATACTTGGGTAGCATGCACTGCAGTACAATGTTTGATAAGCTCACAAGGAAACCCAGTCCATAGTTTTATGAGTGACAGAAATTGCTCCTAAGATGTCAAGTCTAGGGCCCCCACCCCCCCTTGAAACAATAGCATGTCTCTACTTGTTAAAGAGTAGTTAACTGTGTGGAAGACCAACATCTGCAAACAGAGAGGACAACTCCTCAACAGGAAGTTAGTGACCGCACACACCTGCCCTGTAGGCCTGTAGTCACACACAGTTTTTACATGGTCACAGGTCTTTGAATGGTCCACTGACTCTGACCACTGATAAATATTCCTGTGAACTGGTATCTGAGTTCAGGGGTTCCACAGACATGTAGCTGAGCAACCCTGGCCAAGTCCAACAGAACACAGCATTGAGTACATGAGCCTGGTCAACATTTTCATGGGAGAAACTCCTTGTATTAAAACAGAGGCAGCATCAGTAGAGAAGCTAGAACCCATTTAAAGGACAAGGCTGATTCTAATAATGATATGATTTATCATTTTTAATTTTCTATGAGAAGGTATTACTCACTGGCATCTGAGGAAATTTACCTTTTCTCTGACCCGCAGAAAAGGAAGTTCAGGTTAAAAACAAAAACATAATTTTTTCTCTTTATCTTGCTGGCTCAATTTCACAGACCCAAACACCAGAAATTACTCAAAGAGCCCACCTTGGATTCTTAATAAACACCTGTACTTCAGTATCCAGCCCTGATGTATTAGGACTACTCTAAATATTTTTTACTTGTTTGTTTTATATAGCAAATGAAACATTTGCTTTCTACCCTGTACTGTGATAGTAACAGCAGGAATCTTAAGTAGTAAGAACAAAGAGGTGGAGATTTTGAGCAGAAAGGTGTTCAAAATCTCTAGACCAACCCTCTAATTTTCCAGATGATGAAAGACGTTGTTCTCTGAGGTTCAGAGAACACCTGAACTAGTAATTCTATAAAGTGTTTAATAAAAGAAAGTAGTGGCAAGGCAGGAGGCGCTTTTAAGCTCTACTTGTAAGACGCTCAGCGTCGTTTTCATACTACTGAAGGCAGACACGAGGCGGTGGCCACATAGAGTCTCAGCCCCAGCCCCGCCTTCCTGCCGGCTGGCCTCTGGGCTTCGCCAGGTTCTGACAGAGTGAGTCTGAGCCCAGGGGCTGGGCACACTGGACCCAGCGGTGCAGATACCCCCACTCACCTGCAGGACCCGGTAATAGTAGCAGTAGAGCCGGTGAGGCTGCAGCAGGTCCCTGGCCGTCAACTGCCCTGCTTTTGCAATCTTCTTGGCCTCTTCATCGTTTTCCTGGAAGGAAAAAGAAATAATAACTGAGAATTACTCCTGTGATCTACAGAAAAGATCAGGATGAGTGTGGCGTAGGTGAGACGTGAGGTTGAACGTGGACACCTTGGGGAGTGAGCACCAGATGGAACAGAACAGAGAACAAGCTACAGAGACACCCTGCTTTCAGCATCATCTGTTGCACAGAAATGAGCAGCCCCTCCCCTGCGGCCACACCCCACACTGACTCTTGGGTGGTTTCCTAACCATCCGGGCTCATCGGCTGTCCTGCATCCTAACCCTCTTTGCAGGATATTAAAATACTAGAATAGAACGAGTCTGTTGTGTGATCATTTCTTTCAAGTTCTACTGAAATGTGCAGTCAGAGCCAAAAATGCCGTTATGAAACAAAAAACTATGTAGCTATCATCAAACACTTGGCCGTCAGCCCCCACAGACTGTTCCTTTGTACCAGGAATAGTCAGTGTCCCCAGTTCTGATTTGGGCTGACAGCTAATATTCCAGCAGGCTGCCCACAGGGAAGGCTGTTTGCAACCGGTTCTGACTCTTTATAAAGGGTCACAGAAATGTGTCTGCCTCTGGCACCCAGTTATTTCTTTAACCAGATATTGCTTCTTGGAAACTCAGAAACAGAAAACAGTCTTACAACAAAGGTTACATTTTTCAAGTTTCAAAATAAAACATAACAGGTTCTTAATACTTTAACCTTGAAAAATGAATTCTAATTTTATGGGCAACTTACGATTTGGGGGATGTTGTGGAGCATGAATTCATTACAAACATGCACTTTTTTGCTAACTGAGGAAAAGAAAACAGTGCTATGATTATCTTAAATGTCTTCTTGTACATGAAGCACTTGAAGTAAAATGTTTGGGTCCATATTTTGCATTTGGTATGTTTTTGCTCCTGGGCATATGAATCTGAATGATTTTGGAATAAGAATTTCTAAAGACAGATTTTTTTTTTTTAAGCTATATTATGTCAAAATAACCTGTTACGATTGAGCTCAGTAACTAACACTGGTGCCTTTTGGTGAATTTGCAATTTACTAAAGAAACTAAAATTGCACACAGCATACCTTGGCCCATTTAACTTTTTCTAGCAGATCGCTAAGATTTCTTCTAACTGGCACATAATGTTTCCAAGGTTTTAGTTCCAAATAGAAGTGTTCGTAGTAAGGCGAGTCCTGCTTCAGAACCAGACTGTCGCCCAGCATGAGATACGGGTACCGATACGCAGCCACGGTCCCATCCACGTTCACTTGGTACTTGTACTGAAGGGAAGAGACAAAAACAGTGAGTCGTTGGCTTCACATCTGCTTCTCACCAACACTGAAATTCTAAATAGAAAGGGATGATCTGCCACTTTCCCACTTTATTATTTAAAAGTTGTATATTTTGGGCCCTCCCTGGTGGCGCAGCAGGTTAAAGCGTAGCATTAAGAAGCTAAAGCCACTTCAGCATGAATTTGATCCCTGCCCCGGAGGTGACCACTGGACAGACCTCTCCTGATCCGCCCGCTGCTCCCCCCAGCAGTGCACTTCATCAGTCGGCCTGTTCTGCTCCCCACTCTGTCTCTGGTGAATCCTCTCACCGCCCCTGAGCCTCTGGCCTGTACCCCAGTTCTGTATGCATAAATAAATAAATCTTAAAAAACAAGTTTTATATTTTATTTGATAACACCCATGTTATCTTTGTATTAAAATTATAAGCAGTCTTTAACGGGTCAAGATTAAGAAGTATGAATACCTATTTCAATCTGTCCATGTAATAGGGAATTCAGATGTTTGTGACCAGGTAAGGAAACTATTTTTAAGATAATTAAAGCTGATATTGATAACAACGCACACTTTCATCCATATACTTTTTGTTTGTCCCTTGTACCCGACCAATGTTCACTAGTTTAAGAACTAGGGTGAGGCCCTCCCTGGTGGCGCAGCAGGTTAAAGCACTGCACTGAGAAGCTAAAGCCACTTCCGCATGAGTTTGATTCCCGCCTGCCCCGGAGGTGACCACATGGCGAGGCAGACCTCTCCTGGCCCGCCCGCTGCTCCCCTCAGCAGTGTACTTTGTCGATCTACCTGTTCTGCTTCCCACTCTGTCTCTGGTGAAGCCTCTCACTGCCCCTGAGCCTCTGGCCTGTACCCCAGTTCTGTATGTACAAATAAATAAATCTTAAAAAAAAAAAAAAAAGAACTAGGGTGATGTTAGCAAAACACAATGTGCTCATTTTCAGTCACATTAAGATTTCATGTTACTCTTCCCTTTTTACCTCCTGATTTTGTTTGGTAGGTTCTGTACCCCCATTTCCTTCAGATTCTGGCTTCTATTTTACGTATGTGGAAATTTATACTCTTTCCACTTACAAGAGGCATTTGAGATCATTTTTTGGTAAAAAACATTTGTATTCCCATTTTATTAAAACAAATACAAAAGGGAGAAGCAGAGAAATAAATGCACCAGAACCCCAGGTTAATCCTTGTGTTCTGAGTATTAAATACCACTTGGCACTACTTGGCAGACAAGGTTTACAACAACAAAACCATAAAGGAAACCACGAAGACTTTTGTAACTCCCCTTCTGTGTCAATCCACAAGACAGAAGAAATCCATCTAAGCTCAGCTATTTTATAGACTGTCAACATGAGTTTATCATTTCTATCCATCCAGAAAGACTTAAATGCATACCTTAAAAAAATCAAAGAAGCCTATCAATTTAGCTTTTCCAAGTTCCTTTTCTTTCTCTTGGAAAAAAAAATACCCTGTAATTCCTGCATCCAGTAGCTCTGGATTTTCCTTGGCCATCTGCACCAACTGCAGCCTCTCCTCTCGGCTGTCTCGGCCTCTGAAGAAAGCTTTCTCTGTTTTATTGATCCAGGAAGGTCCTAGAAATTTGAGAGCAAAAATATACACATAGTTGTGAAATTGACATTTTCATGTGGTGAATATAAGTATTTTAATCTACTGTTGTCAAGATACTTTCAAGTCTAGGCTTTTACCACAGCTCCTTCTTGGTGTATTGTTCACAGGAATGCTCTGATTTCATCTGTTTTTCTTCTAGTGAGAGCTCATATTGGGGTTTCTATTGCACAACAGTGGGAAATAGCCAACATAACATTGCAAAAGATTCAAAGCAAAAGATGTGGGCCATTCACCAAGCATTAGCTTCTTCTGTCTTGGGCACTTCACAACAAGGAATGAGCTAAGCTTTTGTTCTTAGACAGGGTGATGAGAATAAACTATATAACTAAGTAACATAGGTCCAGCTTCAATCCTGAGGTGCAGAATTTTGAATACAATAAAAACTTTTCCCTCTATGCTGTTAAGTACAAATCCATTGGGTTGTTGGAAAAGTCATGTATATACATCTATATGTAAATATATATATATATATATATATACACACACACACACATATATATGTAAAACTAAACTGTATACATGCATTTATATCTTTTTTTTTCTTGGGAAGGAAATATTCTGGAAGGATTATTTAAATGTATTCCTATTAATCCAGAGACAGCCACTGGCGAACCAAAGTCTGTATTGTAAAGGGAAAACCATAAGGCAAAGACACTGGAGAGGGCTCATTCTTTTGACTATGTTAGCATACTTGTCAGAAACCCACTGGCATCATATAAAAAGTAGATCAGTTTTCATTTCACATTGTTTAGAGAGTTTACCAACAAAAATCCCTGCTCTCATCTACTGAATACACCTACCAAATTGCAATAAGAGACATAAAGAGTAGGCAGAGGTTTCTCTCTATTCAGGAGTTCAGTTTAATAAAGGGGTGTGTTGTGTTAGCAACATGAAGCCTTCGAACAAGGAGAAAGAAATTCATGTTTTAAAGGCTCAGGAGAGGCAGAAAGAGGGAGGAATTCCTTACAAGGTGTTGGGGTTGGCCATACAGCTACTACAATTCTCACATATCTCATATAATTTTCTATTTTTCATTTTTTTCCTCCTATCATCCAGGAATCTAACTATTTTGGAGGCAGATTTAAGTGACAACTTTACCAAAAATATATTTTCAATGAATTATAGACTCAGGTATACAGTGGATTTGGATATTACTAGTCCAACCAACACATCTTTAATTTTTGGATTAGAAGAATCTTAAAGAAACCACTATAGCATCTATAGTGCGGTTTTTCATTTAGAAAAGAAGAACAATTATTTAAAATATATAACTATATACTTTCTCTAACCAGACTGTCCCTTCACCTTAGCTGCTGAGCTTTATCATAGAGAACGAACATCTGCTTACCTGTATTTCCTTGAATAGAAAGGAGATCGTTGGCAACACCCCTCATTGCCTCAAGCGTGGAGTGTGTGATGTCATAGGTTGGAAGGATGATGTCTCGGGAGTCCAAAGAGCCACACCATGAGATGATAGGTAAAGGGCTGGGGGTGTCGTTGACTTTTCTGTGCTCCAACGGCCAATCGCCAAGATTAATATAAAATTCTAAATCTGGGAGAAGAACCTAAATAAAGACAGAGGCATCAGCAAAGGGAAGACTCCAGTCTTTGTTATTAAATGTTTCCAGTTTGGCTTTCTTAGGTATTTCTGATATAATTAAACATCTGAACAGAGAATGCCTCTCAGTCATCAGTAGTATGTGAAAACCCAGGAGGAGGATGAGATGCAGAAAATTCACTTAAGCAGGAGCTGGCACCTCTGATCAGAGGTGACATTTAATGTTTAGTGTGATGGAGGTAGAAATGGGACCGAAAGGTAGGAGTGAGTGACTTCACAAACACTTTCCGTCTCCTACCCTAAGGAGACACTGCAGTTACACCGAGCCCTGTTTTCCCTCATGATCAACCTCTTTGTCACATCTACCTTTGCTTTGGGAATTTCTACTCTATCTCCATGGTCATTGCCTAAGTTTATCATCTTTTGCCTTACTAGAGCTTCTGACTCTACCTTCTCTGTACTGTAACCTGCTTACCACATGTCAGGTTTATAAATTAAAGGTGAGTGGAGGGCAGTTGTTAGGAATGTGGAAAAGTCTTTTGAAACAGAGTGCCCAGCCCTATTTAGTAAGAAGCCAAGCCCTGAAGAGCAAGGGGAAGAGCCAGTGAGAAATTCTCAAGGGCAGGGATGACAGGGCAGCTGTCATCCGGTTACTTGTTTTTGAGTGCAAGGGTTATTGTGTATTTTGTTTTGTTTACTGTGCACTGGAACAAAATAATCCCTCTGCTATTCAACCTTCATCTAAATGTGCCATGCAGGCTCTCTTTCAGAGATGCCTCAGGTAAAGAAGGAAAATGTGTTCTGAATTCAAGTTCTTTTCAGGTGATGAGAAGAAACCTGCTATCGATAGTGAGTTTAGAATGGAAGGCGTATTCAGCAGGAATTTCAGCAGAACTTCAAGAAATGACCGTAAGAGCTTTGAAAGTTTGGGAATTCACAGAACCCTTAGTAGTATCCTATACTGTCTACTTACCAGGAGTGGGCTTATCCCATTTCACTTCAAAGTGAAATAAAGGCTAAGAACGCGGAAGCTCGAGTGACAGACGTCTTAGATGTCCAACTCCAAGCCTGGAATCCATTTCCATTCTTGGCCATTATTCACCAAGGCACTGAAATATTACAACTAAACAAAATACAGCATTTTGGAATCAGTGAATTCATTCTCATACCTTTCTTGCCAGTGACAGCAAAATCTCATCGGAGAACATTTTGAAGTCTGTGTATTTCCCCAGTGGCCTCCGGTAGATGTGGTTATTGAGAATCGTGTAATGAACAACAGCCCCCATTTCATCGCCGAACCTTCCTGGAACTTCACTGAGCAGCTGCTGGAGATTGATGCTGGGGAAAGGAGCGAAATCTCTGGCAATCTGTGGTTCCTTGGATGGACAAGCAAGGGTTCTCTGCCAGGCCTGAGGGTCCTCCTCGGGACAGTCACAGTACTCATGGAACACTGGTCCTACAAGGCACAACACACAGAGCCATGCTCTATTAACAACACAGGGAGAAGTTTCCACTCCTGCTGGGACCTCAGGCTGATTGCTGGCGAAATCTAAGGGTATCCAGACAGGGACAATTTGCCCTAAACCAATCAGTGGTGAAAATAGTTATGTCAGAGCCATATCCTTCTACTTTCTGCCCCCCTTTCTCATGCTTCCCAGACAACCCAACCTAGCACATGTTCTCCCTCAGAGCTACGTGCTCTTGGTCCATCTGCTGAAAAATTCATCTCTAGTGACTTATAGAGGCAGATGAATATAAAGCAAATTGCCTTTTAACAAGGAAAGGGGAGTGAGTGCATTATTTCCAGGCATTATTAGGTAGTAGAGATAGTGATGGTTTAAGGAATCAAGTGATCTTTTCTTCTCAGTTCCTAAAATCACTCCCACCAGCATATCTCAAGGAGAAAAGGTGTGACCCAGGGGCATCAGTTAGGGTAATTTAAAGTGTCCAACCAGGGGTTTCCCTGGTGGCACAGGGGTTAAACACACAGCACTATAAAGCTATGGGTAGCCACTGCAGCATGAGTTCAGTTGCTGACCAGAGAGGTGACCCACGTGGTGGAGGTGACCCACATGACACAGCAGACCTCCCCTGACCTGCCCTCTGCTTCCCTCAGCAGTGTATTTCAGTGGAGCTGCCTGTTCTGGTCCCCACTCTGTCTCTGGCAGATCCTCTCACCCCCTGTACCTCTGACCTACACCCCAGTTCTTGTATGGATAAATAAATATTTTTTTTAAATGGCCAGTCCAAAGTATAAAACTTCTCAAAGCATCATTTCAAAAAGAGTAGATTGACATTTACATCTTGTTTTAACTTATAGGAGGACTAAAGGGGACCGAATAAAGGATCAGGAAAAATAAATAAATAAATAACCAAAAGCAACAGGCAACTATAAATCAGAGACATTCTGCAGGAGAGGGAAGAACACAAGGACTGTGGCAACGGTGCACGGTACCGTGGCGGTGGGAATTCTGGGGGGACTACACCTGAGAGGAGAAAGCAAACATTGCTCAAAAATGAGCAGTGATGTAAAATACACATAAATAAATAAGTATATCCACATTTACTTTGAAAACATTTTTAAAAAGTTATTCATTTTCTTGAGGATTTCTACTTCAGACCAAGATGAGTGAGACAGACCAATGGACCCTTTGGGCCTTCATTAGCAGTGTCCTCAACACCAACAGAAATGCTGATGGATCTTTCAGGCAGAAGGAACTATATGGAAATGTGTCTCTACAAAAGGGCTGAGGAGAAAATTACCTGTAGAAGTACATAGATTTTACTTTACCATTAAAGATTTATTTTATTTTTATGCATACAAGAGCTGGGGTGCAGGCCAAAGGTGTAGGGGTGAGAGGATTCCTCAGAGACAGAGTGGGGAGCAGAACTGGCAGATCCACTGAAATCCACTGCTGCGGGGAGCAGCAGGGAGACAGGAGAGATCTGCTGCACCATGTGGGTCACCTCCTGGCAGGGGATCGAACTTGTGCTGCAGAGGCTGTGGATAGCTTCATAGTGCTGAGACTTAACCCTTGCACCACCAGGGAAGCCCTATTTATTTTACCATTTAAATCTCTTCAATTACTTCATTTTTCCATCCCTACAGATTTCAAGTTAAATTTGAAGAGCTCCAGGTGATATCAGCCCGTATCTACTGTTGCACATGACTCTGAAGCCACAGTCACCAGTTCTGACCTGCATGGGGTGTGGGAGTGAGCTGGTCACTTACCCTGCAAAATATAGGGGGACTGAGCCACGTGTTCCTCTCCATAGAGAATCTCTATCCTCAGCCCCTCGTGGGCAGTCTCATACATCCTGTATCTTATCAGAAACGTCCCATCGTTCCTATCCAAAGGCTTAGAAACATGAATCCGGACTAACTCTTTAGGCGAAAGAGATTTGACGACTACTTTGAATGTTTGACCTGGAAGAAAAAAATATTAATAATTCTGCTGTTTCATAGTCATTCTGTCTTATCAGTTATTTGGGCAGATGTTTCCACATAGAAGCTATCTTTTTCTGTAGCATCAATAACAAAAACAATTTAGTTTGGAAAGATCCTTCAGGCCAGGAGTTATGTCTGGCTTATGCCTTCAAACCAGGGACTGACTGAACATGTGATTCATTAATCATTCAATAAAGGATGATTGAATGAGCAAAATCAACTTATAAAACATCAAGGAAGAGATTAACTTTTTACATCTTGGGTCTCTTTTCTCTTGGGTAGGCTTAAAGCCTCTAAGGTTAAAAAGCCACCAGCTCTTTCATTTAGTAATACTAATATAGTATTTGGCACCTTGCTACAGAGCTCAAAGGCAATCTAACTTTCTCCTTGTAAAATATACACCAATTTTCTTTTAAACCATTTCAGTATTTAATAACTGTCATTTCTGAGGCAATTTCCCTTTCATTAACCCAAATTTCAAGCTGTACGTCTAAGCCCATTTTCTTTAGTAGAAATAGATTACAGCCACTTACCAGACTGTCACAAAGAAACCAACATACACACACACACACGCATACCTCTTGGTAAATTACAGAGTTTACTTCTTTAAATTTGTTTCCTCTGGTTGAAATAGAAGACTTATACAAGGATGATTTAACTCCAAAATTCAATGGGTTTTCTATTCCAGGGTAGATGATGCCTAATTAACAACTTCCCCTTCTCATTTCAAAGTGTGTTAGCTGACTTTCAGAGGTTTAAAACAAACAAAAAAAACCTCTGACTAATGTTACTGTAGTCCAGACTTCTTTTTTCTGCCGTATATTATCTCCCTTCCATGTCCCCAAGCAGCACAGAAGTTTTCCTGTTACCTAATCAAACAGTCCTGTTCTACATAAATTTTTAATCTTAAATAAGACAGATAAATGCAAGACATTAATGACTGCATGATTTGGGGAAGGGGGAAGAAAGCTGGATTTATAGAAGAATACTAACTCCATAACGTTTCCCTATTTTTACATTGAAAGTATGAGACTAAATTCCTATGGTTCCCTCAGTTATAACCTTTTTTTTTTTTTGGGTCACTAATATACCATGCATTATAAGAGGCTAATAAATATATGAAAATACATTTAATATTTCAAATACACATGTCAAAATATAGTCATCGGAAATGCATATTTTAAATGTTCAGTTATTTTTATAGTAATCTTTCTTGCTCCTGTCATTGCTGGCATGAGATTAATATTAGGAACAATGCAAAAATAACAGAAATGAGCAATTCTAGTTTCACAAAAGAGAAAATGAGAAGATGCAGTTTCGAACAGCTGCCAATGGAAGGAAAGTCAATTCTCATTTTCCTGGAGCTAACAGAATAGTCTCTCAGCTTGAGTTTTTCTACTTCACAAATTCAAGTTCCTTTAGGAGTCAGGGCTAACTGAAAAGGAATGCAGTGAGGATGGAGACAAAGGAAGGCCAGCAGCATCAGCCTTATCAGGTCATAGGCATCAGATGCTCTGAAGATTCATTTGGAAATAAATCAAAATGCATTTTTAAAAATAAAATATTCACTCACTTAGCACTTAGGTGCCATTCCCTGAGCTTGTGATTGTCAGATACATTTTTCTTATTGCCTCCAAGAACAAGTGAGGTAGGTGTTTGTCATCCCCCATTTTACAGACCAGGAAACCAAGGTTCCAGGACAGTAAGACACTTGTTCAAGGTCACATCTATGATGAGAAGCACAGCCAACATCTGAACACAGTCTGATTCCTTTCACAGTCCATCCTGAGTCTGCCTTGAAGACTGGGCAACATTAGCCTGCAGGTTTGCAGAAGGTGGAGGCCTAACCTGGGGTACCTGCAGGAACAGTTGGAGTCATCACCTCCCGTTGTTCAAGATGTACACCACAGCCCACTGCAGCTGCACCAAAAAAGTGGACCCCGACTTTGGCCTACGCAAAGAATGCTCTGAAGCTAAATGGAATCCACCCCAGAAGCCTGGCTGGCCACCCACCATGGGGCGCTCCAGCACCTGAGTGAAAACTGATGCACGACAGCCCTATAACAGTGGGTTCACTAAAAGGCAGAGAGCCCTGGCCTTCCCAGGGTTGGGGGTCTGGTCTTGACGGTGATACCTTTTGCCCATGGGGGTCACAGGCATGTCATTTTACCTTCACTGAGGCTTCCATCTTCAATTTCTCACAGGTAGAGTGAAGAAAATACTATCTATCCTTCCTACCTCACGAAATAATTCAGGAGAACAAAAGACAGAGTTTAAAATATTAAAGTGCTACAGAGCTAGGAGGTGAGAGGACTTAGGAAGGACAGCAGACTAAGGAGACGATAGTGTTCCACAGTCCGGCCGCCCTCCCACCACACGTTCTTCTACAGGAAGAACGTTATGGGCCTGTCTGCCAGGCACCCTGCCAGCTGCCGGCCTACCTCCACAGTGGAAGGAAGTCTTCAACGTAAGTCAGAGGAAGCTGAAAATGAAAAGTAGGCAGACTTTTCCCCACCAAGATCACAGAACCCCCCAACCTCTGTGGACTCCAGTTTGAGCTTCCCAGGTAGAGACCCTTCAAGCTGCTCACAAAGGCAATGCCTTGAAGTGGGGGTGATAATCAGTAAGTGGGTGTGGGTCAGTCCTTTATGATGGTCCATAGCTCCAGGAAAAGTTGAATCTTTCACTTCATTCTTGAGGAAGGAAAGCTTTCAAGATTTGCAAGTGAGTGATGGTGGCAGATAATATAAGTCACAGATTGGGTGAGCTTTCCAGAAATATAGGGCCACTTTTTAAATGGACACTAGAACTCAAGTGTCCTGGAAGGAAGCACAGAGAACCTCATGGGATGAAAGTGAAGTTATCTCAAAACCAAGGTGGAGTCTTACTTTTCTTATTTCCTATGGCCTTTTTCCTGATCTGCAAAACCTTTATGATCATTTTGGAAGAAACTTTTTTTGGGAAAAGAAATGCAAAGCATTCCTTACTCTCATGTTATAAAGGCTGATTACACGGATGAATAATGTGATGAATTCACATTATAAAATGTGAATGAAACCTCACTTCTTTCCTGTTTATTGCATCCTTGACCTAGATACACATTATTAAATGATCTCTTTAAAAGTCATTTAACTTTTTAATTAATTTTAATTATGGTAAAATATTCAGTTGATCAACTTAATCCTCTTTAAATGTATGGTTCAGATTGGGCAACTAATCTCTAGACCTTTTACATTTTGTACGCCTGGAACTTTCCCTCTCATCCAACAACTGCCATTTCCTTCTCTAGCTGCCCTGGAAGTCCTTAACTCTCTGTTTCTAGGAATTTTACTCCTTTTGAGACCTCATGTAAATGGAATTGAAAATGTCACCTTTAGTGACGGTCAAGTATTCCATCACATGAATGCCCCATGCTAGAGGAGAGGCTTCCTCCAGCTGATTCCTTTGGCCTGTGGGTTGTTTTGAGCTAAAATAACCTCAGTCTCACAGGTAAACTTACCACTCCATTCATTAGTGACCTAAAAGAATAAAAACTGGGGTACGACCCTGAATGAGGATTTTCATCTGAAGTTGCTGTTCTATTGGAGAAAACTATCTGTAGGCAGGGCTGGCATAATTAATTAGAGCAGCTGATCTCTGATTTCTCCCCTTTATCATTAAGGACCCAGGCCCCTGTTCTCTTTGCTCCATATACCTTCTCCATGTTTATAGTGAAATCTATTCCTTGCTTCTAATCTGACTAATTCCATTGATTAGCCAGTACAAAAAGGCTGCAGAGAGGTAAGAGGAAATCTCCTCTAGCACCCCACAATGATTTATTTAGCAATTACCTTAGAGATGACCACTTCATCTCCTACTGCATAACTGTAATGCTACAAGAGTATCCTTGCATATAAATCTTTAGCCACATTTTGATCATTTTCTCAGAACAAAAACCTAGAAATGATACCTTTTAGAATTTATTCCCAGCCATTGGAACTCACTTTTGTACATTATGTTTAAGACACTTGATAGGTTTGGAAAAGTATTTCCCAGAAGACTTTAAGCAAGTTGTGCCCCCACCAAGGGAGGAAGGTCACTATTTTAGGGTCTCTCGTTGCTCCCTTAAGTTTGTGTATTACCATTTAAGCAAAATCTTTGCAAATATTTTTAAAGTGGAGTTTCATTGGAAGTTATATTCCTTCATTCATAGTGAGAATGGGTAAGTTCGTTTTTCCTTAGTTTTCCGTCTTCTTTTCTTTCTAAAAATCTTCCCATTCATTATGACATCACAAAATTACTTTAGAAATCAAAGACCATACACGTTATAGAAGAAAAACTTTGACCCTAGGTCTGAGAATCTGATCTTTAGAGACATGGAAAGTACATCTCAAACTAAACACAGCAGACACGTATCCACGGGATCTGCAGGCTGCACTGGGTTATCCTGCTTGTTGTCTCTTTGGTGATAAAACAGGTGCCAGTTGGCTGGACATAAATTAGCAAATCCTGACAGGCAACATCTTGAAACCAGCAGGACAAGCTGTAAGAAGTTGCAAAGGTAAAGGAGATCTGGGAATGAGGGATTCAGGACAAAGCTCCACCCTCTAGGTAGAGACACCTAACAAGTTCTACGGAATTTCACGAAAGCCTGCAATCTGCTTTCCACAGCTCCAAAGAACTCAAGCATCTGGCCTGCATACCCGCTTCCCTTCACACTGCTCTGACATTTCCTTGGTGGAGCACGGAGTTGCCCTTTCAAACCCATCAGACTCAAGCCACGGAAATCCACGCAAATCTAGGCGGTGACTCTACTCGCGAGGCCCTCCCTGCCCGCCGCAACAACTCAGACACCCGAAGGGGGTGGAAGGACCCTCGGAGCGTGACTCACACGCACTGACACCCTGCGCGCCTCTGGGACTCCGCCTTGCACATTAAAAGCGGAGAGCCCGAGAGTCCATTGATTCGCTCATTCAAAGACTCAGTGTGGCCACTCCTCCCCTTTGTGTCCGGGGTGGACGAGTGGACCAAGCAGAAAAAGAGCAGCCCTGGCCGCCCGGAAGACGCCACGCGGGCGGCGGGCGGGTCCGGGCCAGGCGCGGCTCCTGCCGCCTCACCGGCCGGCGACCTCGCCTCGCTTCGGGGGGAGCAGAGCTGCTGTG